CTCGCTGACATGACTTGAAAATTCAGTATCAAATACTGAACATCAAACTTGATTTTTTTTTTACTGAGAAATCAACAATTCACAATTAAGTGAGTTGATGATTTAATACTGACAAAAACGAAAACACTTTTCTGAAATAAAGTGTTCACTGAATAAATATAATTCTGGAACGTACTGATCTTCATCTCCTGGCTGACTACTAGTCTTTAATTTGAATGTTGATTGTGGTACTCCCCGTCTTAGGTACTCCTGGAAAATTTCAGAGATGCGCACCTGTACAAATGAGGGTAACTAGCAATCGTGGCAACTACCTTTCATAATTGTCTACTCGACACGCGGCACATCATTCGCGGCACGTCGTAATGTGGTATACCTGCTCCTCATCAAGTGAGTGCGGCACACCTACACACAGCACCTGGCGAAAATTGCACCTGCAACATCGATGTAGTCTGTATGGCTGATCATATCTGTATCTTGGCTAGTAATCCTCAATGTACGAAAGTGCTAATTCTCTGTAATTTCCCAGTGTACTGTGACCCAACATGGTATGGCATCCTGCTCTTCTGGCGTCATGCATACTTGAATGGAAAGCTTGGTTGTCACCATGGCATGATCTGCTGCTGTTGATTGATCTTCTTCGCCGTGTCGAAAATCGACATGTTGTACCTGCAACTGTTTGCTTTCCCTGAGGTCAAACTTAACCTCAAGAAAAGTTTATCATAAACTGATCCTTCCTACGAATTCTCAAATCATCTGTATTTGAGAATCGAGGCTCTGAACATACTGAAAATGACTGATAAGTCTTGTCTTATTAGACAGACCATCTTCGATCTTGACATGACTGACCTGAATATTCTCATGACTGAATAACCATGATTTGACACTTACATGACTGAATCATCTTTGCCTGAACGCTGAAAGCTATCCCGAGACAACTACAATAGTCGCTTCGGAGTTGAGAACATGATATTTACTGACCTACTTGACTTGATAAGGTACGACTTCAAGTTTCCAGGTAAATCTGGACTAATAGTCTGTATATCAGACCGCCACATTTTACCCGGCTGAACAACTATTATACGCCGACCTTACATCATGAACATAAACTGTAAATCGTGAACATTGGCTCATGACTGTGTACTATATAGGGCTGCTCCAGTATCAACTGGTCCCGCAAGTACTGAATAAATAACTGATCTTGAACTTTGGCAATTAAATTCAGAGTATCTAACTGGTAAGATACCCGACTTAGCTGACTCTAAAGGTTGTTACTTATGAAACTGTGCTGCTCCGGTTCCAGTTTCAAGCCTCCATGGTATACCCGGCTTAGTGGCTCTTATTTCAAGCCTCCATGGTAACCCGGACTTTTGGCTCTTATACACTGAAAAACCGTTACTTGATAAAACTTGAAAATTTTAACAACCTTTAGCCTGAAAAATCTTGCCTTGAACTTGATTTACTGATTTGACTTAGGAAAATTGAGCTTATTCCCTGATCTAACTCGAGGAATTCTTTCTTGGAATGTGCCAACTAATTGGCAAAACAGGAAAGTTTTCGATAGAAAATGCCTAAGGAACATGATTGCTAAGATTTGTATAACATAATTGTTTACAAATCACTGAACGAGGCATTAACTTAATCTGAATAAGTCTAGAATGGAATCTAGGGTTCTCAATCCTAGCCCCTTTCTAGAGTTCTGAAATCGTACTCGAACATCCTTACTGATGACTTTATTGAAGTTGAGCAATAAAGAACACAAATTTCTTGACGAGTCGCTAAACATGACTGGGGAATACTGACATAAAATTCGAGTATACTGACTACTGATCATGGACATTATTCGAGCATCTTAACTATATCATAACTGAGAATTTCTGAGCATAGAAATAGTAAATTGTTTATAACTTAAAACTTGAATCAGCACTTACCTGGTAGTCGGCGAGGCGTGAGTGTGACGTGTTCGGGTTTTCTGAAATAAATTTCTGACTTATGAAATATTCAGAGACGCAAAAACGTTGCTCTGATACCAACTGTAACACCCCGCTTTTCCATAAATATCAGAGTGCGCAACTCGCAATTACATTCAAAATAAAATGTTTTACATTGCGAAATACTGATTCGGAGTGCTACTAAAATACATAACTGACTGAAAAGTCTGAAACTTTTGGTTTACAAAAGTTAACTAATACATGACTGTTAAAACTAGACGAATTCACTGTTCGCAGAACTGATAATGGACTTCGGTCGAACAAACAGTGAATTGTCAACAGCTTGCTGACTGATAAAAGGCTAAGTATGACAAACAGTAAAACATCAGCGGAAGCTGTAGCTGGGAATTTGGTTAGCAATGCCGTAGTCGTGAAAACATTTTATCTGAAAGTAGTAACGACTCTGCTATGCCAAATTCAAACTGTACAAAACAT